AAAAAAGGAATTATTATTAGTTATAAAGGGTATCTCAGTTCTTATTAAATATTAACTCTTCTTATTAAAGACAAACTCTGGGAGATGATTCTAGACAAAGTTGCCAACAAAAAAGTATATTTGATGCATGGGTCGATTCCGAATGGAAATGGAGTTTGAATAAGATGATATTGCTCAAAGCTTTTTTAAGAAAATTAAATTCCGAACACACCATCACACTAGTAGATCCAGGATTTAATTTTGGGGGAAGGCTTCAGCCAGAAACCTTTTTTTTCATAAAAATAACGATAATTACTTTGGAAAAACAGAAAGAAAGTTGTAGGTTACGATAAGATGAAGCTATTTACGAAGTTTTAGGTGGATGTTAATAATTTGATATATGGGATCTGTACCACGGACTAGAAGCTTTTGAGATTTGATTAAAATCATTAGTTCAATCCACTAGGAACTGATACACCCTTTATATTAATACACACACACATATAATATCGTATATGAAAGGTAGCCTCCAATATGATAAAAAAATGTAATAAGAAAACTATCATAATTAATACAATTAAATTATACACCCGCCTAAAATTTCGTAATTAACTTTATCTCACTGTAACCTACAAATTTATTATTTATGAAAACTCTAGGAATTGGGGCGTTTTCTTTCAGGAGATCGGCAAACTTTGTTTATTTAATCGGGTATTAAAAACTCAATACTCATTTCCTTTCCAATTGGATGGTGAGATAATTTGATTTTAAAAATCTAGAAAAAGGGTGGTCTACAAATATTTTAGACCGTTTGGCCTATATACTCTCGTTAGTTTTACATTTTCAAGTAGGTCACGCCAAATGTCTCAATATTTTTTAAGGCCACCTTTTTTCTCTATTTTTTGATCAAATTATGTTACTATATGCTAGTATCAACTCCTTTTTTCAACGAATTTAGCCGCAGATGTTTGGAATGAAGCTCAGAATTTTTCTTCAAGATCCACTTTTCTCCCCACCTTATTTTGGTAACTGGCGCAAACGTATAAATTTGATAGATTCAATTGGTGGGAAAAAAACATGGTTATTTATTTATTTTTTTAAAATAACTACTCGTAAATACCCAATTGCTTTCCACTTGGATCGTAAGATAACTTGATCAAAAAATCGAGTGGCTACATGATTCACTCACACAATATGTACAAAATAAACAATAAATAAAAAATACTAAACTTAAATACAAATATACAAAATAAAAATACAAAACTAAAAAAAAATGCAAAATAAATACAACTAATATTTCAATAATAAAGAAAAAGAAATATAAAAAAATAAAATAAGTTGATATGCTAGTGCTAAAAAAAAAAAATGAAATAATAGATAAAAGCTAAATGAAATTAAAGTAAATAAATCACATTCACACCTATGTAAAAATACTAAAATAGTAAAAAAACTATTATATTTAAAGTCAAATTTTGCATGTCTTCTTCAGGGGTAAAGGACTAAAGGGACTTTTCTTATACCAGAGTCTTCTATAACATTTTTTATCTTGTTCGTTTTAGCTCTGAAGAAGACCTGCAAATTCGAGTCAAAACGTTATCTTTAAATAAAATTTTACTATTTTAGTATCTTTATGACCACCACCCCGGACCATCTCCTTACTCAATAAATTTAAATATATAGAACAAAAAAAAAATGCATAATTTAAATATTATATTGAACTATTTATTGGCTTTAAAATATTCATACATTATTCAATCACGAATAAGCCTTAGATGGCTTTTACGATTTATCGTAAAAAAGGGGATCAAGCGCTTGGCATATAAATAAACGCGTGCTATAACGGTAAACCTTTAGCGAGATAATGAGGTTTGGAAAAGATTGACGAAAAGAATATATATATATATATATATATATATATATATATATATATATATATATATATATATATATATATATATATATGCATCAAGAATAGTTATATTAAGTACACAGAGAGAAGATTTATCAGAGAACTTTTGATTTATATTAAAAAGTGTTACTTCAAGATTTTACGGGTCATGAAGAAATTAGGATTTGTTAATGCAAACATATTTTTAACATTTCAGTTTTTTTAGCTTATAAATTCGCATACACACCTGTCAAAGATAATAATGATATGAATGAGATCTGAGAATTTTTTTTTTTTTTTATTGTAATCATTGAAATAATTTTTCTCGATTTTTTGATCAAGTTATCTTACGATCCAAGTGGAAAGCAATTGGGTATTTACGAGTAGTTATTTTAAAAAAATAAATAAATAACCATGTTTTTTTCCCACCAATTGGATCTATCAAATTTATACGTTTGCGCTAGTTACCAAAATAAAGTGGGGAGAAAAGTGGATCTCGAAGAAAAATTCTGAGCTTCATCCCAAACATCTGCGGCTAAATTCGTTGAAAAAAGGAGTTGATACTAGCATATAGTAACATAATTTGATAAAAAAATAGAGAAAAAAGGTGGCCTTAAAAAATATTGAGACATTTGGCGTGACCTACTTGAAAATGTAAAACTAACGAGAGTATATAGGCCAAACGGTCTAAAATATTTGTAGACCACCCTTTTCCTAGATTTTTAAAATCAAATTATCTCACCATCCAATTGGAAGGGAAATGAGTATTGAGTTTTTAATACCCGATTAAATAAACAAAGTTTGCCGATCTCCTTAAAGAAAACGCCCCAATTCCTAGAGTTTTCATAAATAATATATTTGTAGGTTACAATGAGATAAAGTTAATTACGAAATTTTAGGCGGGTGTATAATTTTATAAAAAGGGGTCTGCACCACGGACTAGACGATTTTGAGATTTGATTGAAATTCAGTTCATTATCTCAAAGTCCTGGTAATGTTACTTTCACGTACGTAGTATATTCTTGTAGGAAATAGGAATTATACTGCTAGGGGATAAAAGTGGATCTTGAGGAAAAATTGATTTTCATCCGAAACATCAACGGCTAAAGTCGTTGAAAAAAGGAATTAATATTCCCAGTTCTTATTAAATATTATACGAAATTTCCAACAAAAAAGTTCCGTTGATACGTGGGCCTTTTCCGAACGGAAAATAAGTTAAGACAAATTTCGTGTTTTTCTTAAGGTAGTCACGTTTTCTATTGAATAAGAAGGATTTGCTCAAAAACTGTTCAAGATAATTAAATTCTAAGTACAACATCGTAAAGTAGAAATTTTATTTTCTTTAGAAAACAGGTGATTAAATTTCTTATGGTCAATGATAAAACGGAATATAAATTACCTAAGTTTAATTGTGAAATGAACTTTCAGGAAGTTTAATACAGCTGATGTCCTGCTGCAGTTACGATACCCATACCCAAACACATATCTCTGCAGAACGATACAGATGTATCTGATCTCCTGTAAGTCCTTTTATCATTGATAATACTAAATTTAATTACTGTTTTCTCAAAAAAAAAAAAAAAATGCTATCTACTTTACGCTGGTGTAAGATTTTTTTTTTTATTATTTTACAACTGTATAATGATAAATACAACTAGTAAATATGAAATAAGTAACATGAGATTTAATTGAAAGTCAGTACATTATATCTAAGTCTTGAGATTTTTTTTTTTCATATTCGTATTATGTTCTTATAGGAATCGGAATTATAAACCTAAAATGAAATGTTGATGATTTCAATAATAAATATTTTTTTGTACAAATGCTCCATTACTTTCTAGTACTCAGCATCAGACTCAGACACGACGAACGACCTTTTGACCGAACCACCTACTTTACAAGCCGTGGCCTCTTCAGTCAATAAAGCCCGGTATAGCAGCCAATACAAATACAAATACATTCAACAGACAAGCGAACGATTTTAAAACAGATTATTTCTATATTATAGTTATAGTCCGCTTTTTATCAAATTATTAATATCCATATAAAATTTGGTGAATAGCAACTTATTATGACCTTTTTTATTTACGAAATTACGGATAATTTTCAATCTGAAGATCGCTAATCATTGCCTATTTAACTATCTTCAAAGGAGGCAATCTGATCTCACGAATACCTATTTGCTTTTCACTTAAGTAGTAAAATATTTTATCATACAATACAAGAAAAAAGGTGGCCTACAAAAATATTAGGCCTCCACCGCCAATACGTCAAAATAACGACGTTATATAGGCCAAACGGTCCAATATTTTTTTAGAATACATTTCATCTCGACTTTGTGCTCAAATTATCTTACGATTCAATTGGAAAGCAAATGGGCATTCTCGAGTTTTTTGTATCTCATTAAATTAATTTATTTAATTAAGAAACGCCACATTTTTTAGAATTTTTGTAGATAAAAATGTTGTAGCTTAGAATAAGATTAGAGCAATTCACGAAGTTTTAAACGGATGTTAATTTGATAAAAAGGAGTATGTACCGCGGACTAATAGATTTTTGAAATTATTTTTAAAAACAAAATAATCTGTGGTCGTTTCACTAATTTCCATTACTACGTCTTATGACGTTTCTTGAAGATTTTTTAACAGTGATGTACGCAGATAACACAGCCATCATACACCAGACATAAATATTGAATATATGTCTCACGAATTCATCATAAATATTTAATAAATAAAGTTAATGCTTGATTCAAACTGAAGAAAACCCGATCAAATCACGATGAGTAACAACAGATAAAATTCTCTTCACGACATGAAAGATATCCTCCAATTTTCTTTGATAATACACTCGTTACGCAATATAAACGTGGTCTAGAATTTGATCAAAGAATAAAATAATTGGAGTTCTGTGTTTGTTATATTACGAAGCATCTAAAACATTACAGCTGAAAAGACACATTAACAAACTTAAAATTTTCCAAGCAGAAACAATCTGATATCAATTTTGCGTCCGTAATACCAATTAAACAATATATAAAAATGAAACAATTGCTTACTTAATTAGTATAAATGATAACTGAAGGATGCTTTTTATATAATTTAAATATTTATTAATTAATGTTTAGTATAACTTACCCATTCGCCCGGCCTCCAGAATCGCCTGGCCCACTCCCATTCTGTAAAAATAAAAATGTATATAAGAATAATATTGAGTATTATTATTAATTATATTATTGAATATAAATATTTTATAATACTATCATAACATAGAAGCAATTATTTCTTGTTTGGAACTTGGAAAAATACCAAAAGTATAGCTCATAAACAGTAAATATTTTAAATAATTGTTAGGTAATTATTGGAAAAATTCCAAACCAAACAGTTTTGCCAATTCAGGCATAATCAGGACAGAAAAACAGGAAACCGAACATACTTCATGGAAGCAAAAACATAAAGGAAGGACGATAAGACAACACAGCACAGGGTGGTTAGAATCAAACAGCTAATACGGGAAACAAATGACTAATACAAATTATGCCATATCTAATAAAAAATCGTAAATATGTTATAAAATAAAATAAAATATATAGATTTAAAAAAAAAATAAACGAAGTGGAAAGAAGAAAAGAAAAAAACAATAGTTGGATATATTTTTCAACTATAATCTCATCTTCCAGGAACTTTTTAGCTTGAAATTGATAAGCCTACATTTTGGTCGGTATGCTCTCTAAAAAAAAAAAGAGTTAAAATATGTCAGCACCATTACTAAGATAGAATGTTTTTCTAAATTTGAAAAGAAATGGAAAGATAATTACATATTGCTGAGGTGAATAGGAAACAACGAATTTTAAAACGATGTATAAAATCATTGCTTCCATAAAAGAACTTATTGTAAATTGGATATAAAAAAAAGGGATTCTAATAATATAGAAGAAAAAAAGGTAAATAAGTTTGGCTTCAACCTTTATATCGGGGCATTTATACGAAAGTAGTTAGTTTGGATATTTACCTTTACGATAAATGTGGTCATTTAGTTCGGATTCGATTCATACGAATTGGCAGAAAGTCGATTCCGAATTCAAATTGAGAGTACAACCGATAGCTTTTAGCCAGGCACCGAATCGACATAGCATCATTATTTTATCAGTACCCACCTTTCTTTCAACTTCGAGCAAAATCAAACAAGCAGTTTTGTAAAATATCGACTTATCTAAGAAAATACATTTGCGCGTACGCAAGTGGAAGTTCTGAATGGAATATAATGATATTCATATGAGACCATCTAAACATCAACTCGCGCAATCCCTAGTTACGGAATGGACTTAATCCGTAACAACTTTTAATATTAATTTAACTTTTATTTTATTTAGTATGCCAATTGATGACTCATGCATTGACCTTTCTCATGACTTTTATCAAAGTATAAAAGCACAAAGCCCTAGATAGCCAGGCTTAGTTATCTAGAATGTACTGACTGGACAGAAGACACTTATCAAGACTTAGGGAACAATAACCGTTTTCAGCAAAAGAGCACTTTATCACAGACTTCATATCAATTCTAAAAGATGAGGATGTCAATTATTAATAGTTATACCTTCATTCACACGCTTTCTAGACCGTCCAGAATTGATCCTCCCCCCAACTATTCCTGAGTATATAACTCCCATGATCCTCAGACTAAACCGCTCATGCAGTTAATTCTCTTGATGTCATACTCTTTACTGCAGGAGTCCTGGAGTGAACTCATGCAGTCAACTCATAGAATATTACTCTGTATTTTAGATGCCATTTGTAACTTTATGAATAAAAGCATTACTTATAAAATCTTCGCTGCCTCCGATTCGTTAACTCCTGAAAATTGGATAAAAGGTGTTAGGTGATATAGCAGTCGCATTGATTTGGCCACCAACAGAATACACCGAACCAAATTTGATCCTTGATGTCAAAACATAAAACGGAAGTAGAGATTTTCGATTCTGAGCACATTGTTTAACCTACCGCACTTATACAAAGCTCCCCTATATCCGGTAGTGAGGAAGCTATGATTATAAAAATACATCTTTATATTTATATCCACAACAACTAAATAAGCAATTTGTTAGATAGATCGAGTAATTTTATTCGAGGAAAGAGAAAGAACAATACCCATTTCTTTGTAGACTCGTCCGATAACCTTCGAAGAAACATCCCTGATAACCAGCAACTGTTTTATTTACAAAAACCCTCGGAATTAGGGAGTTTTTAATCTGGAGGTAGGCAAACTTTATCTATTTAATTAGCTATTATAAACTCTTAAATACCCATTGGCTTGCCACTTGAATCGTAAGATAATTTGATCATGAAATCGAAAAAAAGGTGGCCTACAAAAATGTTGGTATGCTTGGCCGATACAACCTCGTTATTTCCACATTTTGGGGGTGTAGGTCACGCGAAACGGCTCAATATTTTTGCGCATTATCAGTATTATCGGTGATCACTTCATCCAGTATTATTTGTGATCAAATTATCTTACGATTCAAGTGGCAAGCAGATGGGTATTTAAAAGTTTATAGTAAGTAATTAAATAGATAAAATTTGCCGATCTCCTAGAAAATAACGCCCCAATTCCTAGAGTTTTCGTAAATAAAATAGTAAAAATGAAAAATCGAAAAAAAAGGTGGCCTACAAAAATGTTGGTATGCTTGGCCGATACAACCTCGTTATTTCCACATTTTGGGGGTGTAGGTCACGCGAAACGGCTCAATATTTTTGCGCATTATCAGTATTATCGGTGATCACTTCATCCAGTATTATTTGTGATCAAATTATCTTACGATTCAAGTGGCAAGCAAATGGGTATTTAAAAGTTTATAGTAAGTAATTAAATAGATAAAATTTGCCGATCTCCTAGAAAATAACGCCCCAATTCCTAGAGTTTTCGTAAATAAAATAGTAAAAATGAGATAAAGCAATTCATGAAGTTTCAACCGGATGTTAATAATTTGATAATAAGGGGTCTGTACCACGGCCATTTAGGCCATAACATCGGCACATAGAAAAATAATTAATTCATTTTTATTTTGTATTATCATTGACTGCAATTCCTATCTCCTCTTGAAAAATACTCATTTCTCTTCAGGGTCTTAAGTTATTCTAATATTTTAATAATAGATATTTTATCCTTGTACCTTTCCTAGTGTTCTTCCTAGAGTTCTTCTTAGTTTTCCGAATCATAGATTTTATGTCACTGATTGATAACATAACTCACAAGAAAATGAAAAACAAGGTCTGAAATTCCTTCAGAAGTATATAATCGAATATAATAATTCGATATAATAATAAATCGATATAATCGAAATTATTTAGGTATTTGTCATACTTTTGTTATTTTATAAATATGTTTTGTGGTTTCGAGCAATATTTTATTTATATTGATGGTGGGCATCATACATGTAGATTAATATGATGAGAAACATTATACATATTAATATAATTACTGCATTGCATGCGTACCAGATAAATTAATGAATAAGATAAACGAATTTAATTATTTTTTTTATTTATAATTTTTTTTTATGAAAACATTTTGGAGGACAGGGGAATTGAAGTAGAACTGGGAAAATACTGGATCGATAGAAGAGGAACTGCTGATTAATATCTCCTACGTGACTGGATAGCTGCAGAGGAGAAGCCTTACCAAACAGTGGGGGGGGGGTAAGGATTCTGTTGTACAGCAGGTAAATATAAAACCTCATAAATAACAGATAGCATTTTAAAATGTATTTATTTTATAAAGTCAACCGTATATATATATTAATAAATTATGACATATTCATATCAGTAATAATTTATTAATAACTAGTATACTCCAATGAGAACTCTCACATCAGATAGCTATGCTTCATATATATATATATATATATATATATATATATATATATATATATATATATATATATATATATATATATATGTATATATATGTGATAATATCAAGATACTTTATTCAGCACAAACAATTCAATATTCATACTTGTTCCACTTCGAGATATTCCTCCAGTTATATAGTTAAGTGATAACACACAGCTATCCCTAACCTTACACAAATCTATTATTTTACTAGCTCAAAACATAACATATTAATTTCATATGAATATTCTGTATACGCCTATTGGAAATATGGTATATTGTCCGAATTCGGTCCGAAAAATAAGAATAAAACATCTATTATATATATTATACATTATAAAGACACCAGGATCCCATTAAATATTTTTTTTAAGGTATGTTCGTAGTTCGTATAATATTCGTTTTTCGGACCCTGAAAAATTCTTAAATAAAAATTGTTTGTCAATTATTTTGTCTTCTGTTAATAGTTTTAATGAGATTATAGTTGACGAAATATTGAGGCAATTTTCATTGCTATTGAAAAATAGAGATATGTTGACCAATATTCAGCTTTGTTAAACAGGTATAACTTTGATTATCTAACCAATCTTATACATTTTTTTATGAATATTTATTGATTTTGGTTATTATTTCTAAAATAGATTCATTAATAATTTTTCTGTAAGTTTTTTTTTATATACATACGAGAGGTAATCAGAAACTTAGCTGGAAGGATATTTATAGTTATTTTTCAAATTATTATTTTTAGATTATTCTCCACACGGTTTAAGTCCAACAATAAGTTCCTAATCATATGCGTTCCCTCAACTGCTTAGGATTTTCTCATCAGACCAACCAGTGTAAAAAGGACTAATGAATACAATGTGGGGAGTCAAAACATACGGATATCATTAAATGTAATTTACCAGCGAAGTGCGTTAATTGTTGAAACAGACGCATGCCATTTGGCAGGTCATGCATTATTTTTAAAATCCACTGGCTTTAGCCCCAGTGACGTTGTTGAGAGAGTAGCGCAGGAATCTCTTCGAGTCCTACTTTTCCTTCTATAGTTGGAGGGAAAAGCCTGGCTTGGGGTTCCCTGCCTTATTGTATATATTGTATATAGGTATGGCTGTATTTTTATTATTTTTAATTTACTTATCTTTAGGTTATTTTATTTTTATATTGTACATAGTTTTTGAATATTATTTTACTTTTGTTAATTTTATATTTTCTGTATATATGGTGTGAATGTGTTCATATATCACTATCATTATTATCATCGTGACAGATTATTATATTTCCAAAT